AAAAAAAAAAAAAAAAAAAATGATATTCCAACGGTAATATATTTCAATCAAAATTTTAACGGATATTTCAATGGTATAGCTTCTGTTAGAATAATTCAACAAACCAACAAATATATTTTGTTGAAATGAATTTTTCATTGAAATTTTAATTAGAATTTGATGATTTCATCGACCATTTTCTCAACAGTTTATACCAACATAATTTTTTGTTGGATTTTTTATTTGGACTCATATTTCAATCTTTGAAAAATTTACCGTTGGGATCGTTAAAATCTGACGAAAATTCCAAACTAAATTTTTTTTTTAACGAAAAACATGTTTCCAACAAAAACAACAACAGTGAAATATCCACGGTCATTGTTGTTGGATTTCAATGAAACATATTTCCGTTGACATGTTATCATTTGTTGTAAAATATATCTATTAATACGATCATTTCTAACTGCCGAAAAACATATTTACTTATAATTATAATATTGACGTAATGATAAAATTTTAAAACGACTGAAAAAAAATATATTCTACTACAACTTTATATATATATATGTTTGTGCAAATTTGTAGAAATTGAAATAAATAAAAAAAAACACACAAACATGGATGTGTCAATAATATATAGTCTCCACAAATTAGAAAACCTTAATTGAAAGTATATACAAAAAGATGATGGATTGACCAAGGTTAATTTGACCAATGCCGTTATTCAATTGTCCAACCAATGAATGTAAAAATATATATATAGCTGGCCAATTTTACAATATGGACAATGTTTTCTGTTGAGTCAGAGTTTTAAATATTGTTGGAAATAAAAACCTTCGCAGTAGAGAGTTTGATTACCAACTATTTAACCATATCTGAAATTTCTGTCTAATTTCTTTTTGTCAAATTAATTAATATGCATATGAATTTATTTATGCAAATGATATTGTGCATTACATTTATATATGTACATATGACATGTAATTATATCAAATTAGAATCGAGTAGTAGTGATATAATGTTAGGTTTTTTTTTTTTTTTTTTTTTTT